GTATCTGAACTTTGTTGCCTGACGTGCACAGTCTATCGCCTGATCTCACTGTCGGTGTACAATCTCTGCACGTTCTCTAAAATGTGGAACAGGCTGAGTTGTCTGATGAACTGACACAAGTTGTGACTGTTGCTTGGGGCAGAGCCTGAGGTTGTGTGCTAAAGGAACTTAGTGTCAGGGCCAGTCAGGGCCATCCTGAGTTAGGTAGTTTTTTAGGATCCCAAAATCAGAAACAGCTTTTTTCTGATAGTGTTAAAACAGTTTGCTCTGACTTGGGCATGAAGGTTGGTGTGAAGTTCTGAAACACATGATGAGTCAGGGATCCATGCAGAGTTGCAGGTCATGCTTTTTTTTCCCTAAAGAATGTAGCTACTACATCAAAAACATTGAGAATACCTTAGTGTCATGGACAGAAGAACTCCTCTGTAGTGGAAGTGATTTTGGCCTGCTAGATACCACAAAAACTACAGGAGAATGGTCATATTCAAATATCTTTTCTACTGTGGTGGGTTCACCTTGGCTGGCTGGCTGGCAGGTGCCCACCAAGCTACTCTCTCACTGCCCCTCCTCAGCAGGACAGGGGGAGAAAATAAAATGAAAAATTCAAAGGTCAAGGTAAAGACAGTTAAGCAAACGCTATGCACAGAAGCAAAGGAGATTTATTCTCTACCTCCATCAGTATGCAATGTCCAGCCACTTCCTGGGAAGTAGGGTCTCAGTATGTAGTGGTTGCTTCGGAAGACAAATGCCTTAATAATGAATGCCCCCTCTCCTCCTCCTCCTTTCTCTTAGCTTTTATTGCTGAGCATGACAACATATGATAGGGAAATTCTGGTCAGTTTGGGTCAGCTGTCCTGACTCTGTCCCCTCCAAACCTCTCGCCCACTGCCAGCCTTTGAGGGGAGAGTGTGGGGTGGAGAGACAGCCTGGATGCTGTGCAAGCACTGCTCAGCAGTGGCCAAAACACTGGTGTGTTATCAACACCTTTCTGGCTACCAATACCAAGCACAGCACTGTGAGGGCTGCTACGGGGAAAGTTAACTCCATCGCAGCCAGACCCAATACATCTACATATATCAACATTCCTAGGCTTGAATCCCATTGTGTTGAGGAAGAATATCTCCTGAGGGAGGGAGGGACAGAGGGATGGAGGGAGTAGGATGGGGAGAGAGGCATTCCCTTATGAAAGGCATTTGGCTACAACATTAGCAAAGAATGAATCAAAAATAGCTCCTACTCATTTGGCTGCCACCCAAGCAGGAAAAGTAAGTAGTTTAATTTTTGCAAGAAGGGATGATCCAAAAGAGCAGTCATTGCAAAGCTCTCGATGAGTGTCTTCTCTTCCCAAGAATTTGTGCTACTGCCTTATAGTCCTAGTACATCCAGGTAAGCTCTTCTGAAAATGTAGGAAATTGTTAGGCATCCCACAGACTTCACAGAGAGGAGGGCTCTTGGACTTATTTCCTTCCAGTAGTGCTTAGACCAGATAGACTTTTTTCCCCCAAAATACACATGCATGTTCAGACCTGAGTATAACATTAGAATTCCTGAAGAACCACATCAGTCTTTTCACAGACTGAATGAGAGAAATCATTCTGTAATTCCTGTCATCAGAGAAGGGAGATTTCTAGGAATTAGCTCTCCCGTGCTTCCTAGAGAGCCTGCAATCCCAAGCTAGTGCTGACTCAACAGTAATAGGGTGTGAGAAATTACAAATGCAGCAACTGTAATTGCTTGAGGAGAAGTCCTTGCCTATCCATGAATGGTAAAAATTGAACTTCACATTCCAGTGGCAATTCTGAATAAATCACTCAGTAAAGTGATTAGGTTGTATATGAGCAAATTATACTGGGCAGGCAGTAATTGAACGTTTTCAAATACAAACTTTGTAATTAATCTCCTTTTCAAAATGGGTATGTCCAAGGATTTTGAATCTTGTTTAATAAGGTAGTCAGAGAATGACAGTGCCTTTTCTTTTTGTTTATGGTTGCTCCTAGGCAACCCACTGCTGGTTAAATACAAATGCACTATGCCCCCCTAAATATCAGAACTATTTTTGTTCTTGGTTTTCTTTTTCATTAGATAGCTTCTGGAGATGTTAAGTCTCTAGACATGGAAGATGAACCTGAGCTGTCTACTGCCTTTTAATCGATTCCTGTCTATGCAAAAGTATGGGTGTGCTTTGTTCTCAGTAAGGGCTACCAGTGCACTTCTGGAATACAGAGAAGATCAGGACGCAGACATGGTCACAACGCATGCTAATAATGTAAATGGGACCACAGGGGACTCAAGTTTTTTCCATAATGCAGGACCCTATGTACCTTGTTACAGGAATATTGATGGAATAGTGTAAGGTGAGAGTGAAAGCTCTTAGATAGAATGGAGTTAAGGTGCTCAGTATCAGTATTGAATATTGGTAATTTTCCTGGGGTGATGCAGTAGTAGCAGCAGTACTTCAATCTGCATTACCACAAAGAAGTCAGATCTTCATCTATCGGTACTTTTAATGGATTTCAAATATTACTGCTTATTATTTACTGAGCAGCATGGATACTCTCCTTCAAATTTGTGCATGTAGATACTTTTTGAAGGAGGGAAGAGGCAATTCAGACTTCTTTTTTTACAGGGAGCTTGCAAAGAGGCCTGTCTCCAAACTTGTGAGAGGTGAAGGCGGCAGTTTCTGAGCACTTTCATACTAGACCTCCTTGGAGACAAAGGCTCCACCAACAAGCTTTGAAGCTGTTGGTATTTGAAGTGATATTCTTAACCCTGCAGAAAAGTGAGATAAAGATACATGTGCACAAAGCTCTGGTAGTGCCAGACAGTTACCAGGCAGGTCTGGGCAGTTAAACAAATACATTATTTTACTACCCCCACACTTGGTGGGGACATGTAGAACTCTTGATTCTGCAGGTATTCCATTATTAGGAATAGATAGCTTGTGGTGGTTCCCTTTGGTTATTGAGACATTTATGAACTTCTCAGTTGTGAGTGATAGGTCTGAGGGTTCTCAGTGTTCACCACCAAATTTAAGAGCTGATTGTTTTTCGCAAAGCCTAAGAAGTATTGCTTATTTTGAGGCTTCATGGAAAAACTTACACCTTTTTAAAGGAGGGAAAGAATTGTGACTATTAGCTGTCACACTACCAACTTAGACAAATGTTTGTGTGTTTCCGTAGTGCTATCAGAACATGGCGATTCCTCTCTCTGACACCTGATGCCTTGAAATCCACAGAACACCGGGGGGGCATGTATGTAACGGTACCTCTGCAGCATCCTCTCCAATGTTTAGTGGCTTCCACTCTGGGATGTCCTGAGCCAGTTTGGGATGGTGGGATGTTTTTTTCCAGGAAACAGCCCTTACTGGTTTTATTCCATGACTTTTTTTAACTGCTTTTTGGCTTAAGTACAATTATAGAGTCTACAGCAACCACTGTCTGAAAGCCCATCTACACGTTCTGTGCAGAAGTAGCCCAACTTTGCTGTTTTGAACTCACCATCTGGAACATCACCTTTGATGTAGCAGATGAAGAATGATTATGCTGGTTCTGACCAAAGTTACTAGTTTCATAACCAAACAGAGGTGGGAAAACAAACTACCTGTGTTTACAAGAGCTGCTGAGATTATCCTCAGAAATGAGACCTTTTCATAGAGTATCAGCATGAAATTTATTTATGTGAATGGAATTACCAAAACAATGCAATTTTAAGCTTTTTTTCTTAAGAAAGAAGGCTATGCGTTTGTACTGTGCATCCATCATTCAACTTCCCCTTAGTAATTCCTGTCCTTGTTGGCCTATAGCAAGTCCTCTGTCTAAGCTGAAGCAGTCTTGAAACCAATTAAATATATATACCATAAATCAACATTTTGGTAGAGTCCAAAGATAACGACTCCTTAGAGGTAAATATGTAAGTAGAACCTCCACATCTATTTAGCCTGTCTGGCTTGCCCTGAGCCCCTCAGTTCCCAGGTGGGCAAACCTGTCTGCCAGTCAGCACATCAGGCCAGTTTTCAGTCAGTGACAGTGTCTGGTGATATGTCCCAGCTGTTAATAAGAAAACTGGGGGAAAACAAAAGGTAACGGGGAAGCTGTTGTTAAAATGTGTTACTGATGGAGAAGGGAAGAACTAGAAACACCATGGGAATCCAGCTCAGGGAGCACTTGAAGACCAACTGAGATTAATGCTATGGGCCAGGGAAGTTGGAGAAGTAAAGAATAGGATAGAAATCCTTGGGAAGCCAGACCACTATTTTCTTATGGACTAACTTCCTCACTATCAGAGTATACCATTTTAACTAGACATGCAATATTTACAAAGCACAAACAAAATAGTTTCAAAAATTGAATTTACTAATAAATTTAATCTTACTGAAACATTTTAGTTTATTTTGTCGGGTTCTCCCATGGAAAAGAAAGCCTGTCTATGCACAGATATACTTCTCTCACCATGAGGTGAGAGTTACTTCTATTTGTAGGAGGGCATTTTTTTATGCAAGTGCTACATAGTGGAAGCAAACTATAAATGGATGAAGAAAAGAAAGGTGAAGCAGATGACTGGCCAATTTTAAGACTCAAAAATTTTCCTTAAAATTTGTTTTTTGCCATAATATTTTCTGTGAATTTCCTGATTATTCAATTGATCAGAAAAGCTGACGGAGAAAACAAGTTTAAATTTGTTCCTACTTTTGTTAGAATCTAATGGTTGCTTATTTTTTACAAACCATATCATAAACTTGGACACTCTTGTCAGCCTCAGCATAGCCCTAAAACATGAAAAGGGAACAAGTTACTTTATAAAAGAGCAGAATTAAATTGAGAGGAGGCTGTGCAACCAGTGCCAGACATACTCCCACCAGAGTTGGGATTTATATCTGTACAATTTGGGGTTGGCACTTCTCACCAGTGATATATACATTAAAAAATGAAAAATAACAAAAAACCCAAAGACAAATTTATGGCAGAGCACAGACTCAAATGGGAAAATAGTTGACAGCTTACCAGTGCAGTTCTTCTGGAAGTTAGGATTCTCTAGTGGATGCCCTGGGATGCGGCACTGAAATCTGTGCTGCCAGAACTCAGGAAACCAGGGGTTGCGGGTGTTGGTGTCCAGACGCAGCTTCAGATAGTAGTCATCAAACGACAGGACCTCTGGAGACTGCAGTTTGATAGTGATACCTCCATTTGCTTCAGGTTCGTAACCTTCAATGACTTCATCTCTGTCTGCCCAACCGTCACTGAAAAGAGGCAAAAACACACTTATCACACAAAGACCAGACAGGAAGCTTGTTTTGAAAAACCAGCCAGCCAAAGGCCAGCACTCTTGAAAGCAAGTGATTAAGGGGGAATCTAAAGGTACATCTAAAATTCAGGCAGAGGGGGAAAGAAGAAAGCACAGTGATGGAGGCTTGTAATGAGCAGTCTGACTGATTTCATGCAGAGTCCTCATTAACTCATCTGGAATGATGATGATTTATCCTTCTCCCTCTGGGAAGGGCTTTTGGGCAGAGCTTCTGGTGTGAGGTCTTTATGACTGAAGAGATTGCGCCTTATTCAGTCTGTCCTGTAAGGGGTGAAAACTGAAAGAATTAATATCAATGGAAAGGAAACTGAGCCAGGATCCTGGGTGTTTGCAGAAGAGATCTCAGCATGCATGGATCTTACAGCTAGAAGAGTAATTCAAATCAAACATAAAGTGAGAAATGCATTGTGTTGGAAGAGAATGGAATAAAAATACTCAATAAAGTTGACCAAACTAGAAAGAAAACCACACGCTATTCTCGCACTGCATGGGATTTGTAATAACAAGGGTTTTTTCCCCTCTTTCTTCTTCTTTTTTTTTTTTTTTTAAAGAAAACAGTGGCTTTATATTCTCTGTTTATTCATGTAAGAGATACTCTTTAAAACCTGAAGATAAAACTCTTTCTTGGCAACATTGTTTCATGGAAAGTCTATTTTAACAGGTTTGAACAAAGTCCACTGGGCTTAGCATCTGAGTTTTAGCTTAGTTCTTTTAACAAGAAGTCCATTGATTTAGTGTCATTCTCTAATTCTTATTAGGGTCCCCTAAGATCCATGCTACTGCAGTCTAATTTAAGCACAAATATAAGTCAGCCATTGCTTAATTTTAATATGCTGGGCATGTCATGAGGGAAATAGATTATTCTGGCACCTCAGTTCTAGCGCTATCCACTCAGAATCAGATCAGGAGCACTGCTGCTGTGGAAAGCAGACAGATGAAGCACTTTGAGCAGCAAAGAGCACAGGAGGAAAAACGTAATTGACCACTAAGACAGAGGTCTCATTTTAACTCAAAAGAGGCTTGCACCCTGGACTCCAGACAGACTGAAAGAAGGCCCTTGTTAGGAGACTCTGACATACTGCCTTCAGAAGAGCATCAGGGTGCAGATCATACCACCTGAGGGCATTTATGAGGTACTCAGCATACATGTGCCTGGGACTCCACAACAGAAAATAGACAAGGTTTGAAGCAGCAAGCTTCGTCACAGTCCTAGTCAAAGAGCTGCAAAGTGACTGCACTGGTCACGTGTGAGTCTTTGGTCCCCAGCCACCAGACTGAAGAGCTGCATGGTTCAGCTGACATTCACGTCAGCTGCTGCATCTGTGCTGTAAGCACCTGGAAAAAATGGCAGGTCTCCATTGATATACAGGAAAGCTCATGTACTGAATGCTTTACATATGGAACACATGACCCAAGTCTCTATTACAGGAAGTTATTTAAGACATGGGACATCTAGCAGACCACTGGCTGAATGACCAACAGCTTCCTTTCACCCTCAGCCCAGGCACCCACACAGCTCTACTTTAAGATGGCACTGCGTGTCACCTTCAAACCAGGATTTCTCCTTTGTTTCCCCCCTTTGCCAAAGCCTTCCAGTAGAATTGCCCAAAATTTCTGAGCTTAGAAACCACTGACCAGTACCTTCATGTAGCCAAGCAATGTGAGACGTGTATGTACGTTGCATCTCACAAGTGGCATGAGAGCAGAGCAGGGGGAGGCTCAGGGAGGAGGTCACAGGAGGGAGAAAGCAATGACTCAAAAGTCCTGCTGTGGAATGAGGGTGAGCTGGAGGCGATATCCCAAAATGATTGTCTCTGCCAAGATGAACCTGGCAGCATCTGCGGGGTCATTTCTTCCCACAGCCAGCAATTCAGGTTACTCAGGTCCTGCTTTGTACCAAACATAGCCCAAACAATAACCATATGGCACAGCCCTGGCCTGACTGCAAGCGGCACTTGAATTGCCACAGAAGTGCACAGAGTTCAAAAGACACAATTTTTCCACCCCTGCTCCCTGCCCCACTAGACTGTCTTGAGTTTTGGAGAACGAAAGAAGTCACAGCTCATCCTCTGCATCCCCCTACTCCACAATTGTCCATGTGCTGAAGGCAACTAGTAAAATGTACTGTGCACCCTGACTGCCTCATGACAGCCCACATTCTGGATAACCCTACAGAGGTAAAACAGGGAGAACAAACTTTATGGATTTCACATACTGCAAGCCATAAACTAGCACCAGAGGAAAGAAAAATATTTATTTTCTCTTATGTGAGGGAAAACAAGCAAGAGGTCATTCTTACAGCATAAGCAATTGAGTCCTAATTGCATGATTACTTCATTATTTGTCACAATGTTTATGGCTTGCAAACTGTAGACTCAAGCACAAACATTAGTGAGTCGAAAAGACTAAGTAAATCGGGCCATTTTTCACAAGACTTTCTAGAAAGGAGGTAGTTTCTCTACTGCTTGGATTCCTACCAGACAAACATTAGAGTGATTTATTTCCTCTTCCCTGTAAGTTTGGCTTGTAAAATTGCCACATTCATTCTGAAGGCAAAGCAGAGCAATTCCGCAAAGGCAAGAGAAGGTGTATTTCAAGTTCTCTGAGGGCAGCTGATGGAAAAGTTCCCCTAAATTAGAACACAGAGTGTCACCTAACATTTCCTTGTCTCTTTTGGACCCCAAATATTTTTTAATCTCCAACTTCCTCACATTGTGAAATCTGTCTGATAAGTTTTGTGTGCAACAACATGTGAAGAGAAGGTGCTGGAATCAGAGAAAAAAGTTCATACGTGTTGAAGTTGATACGGGAGCTTTGGTCTGCTTTCAGTAAAGTCAAGGAAGCAAACAGGAGTCCTCTGGTCACTTTGGGGACCCCTGCATTCCTGGTGGCTGCAGGCTGGCCATGTTGAAAGGTACCCTAAATGGGCCATGTAGCCCTGTCAGCAGCTGTGGGAGGATTATCAGAGACCTAAGACCTTGTTATAATCTCTGCCTATGTTACTTTTCACTGTGTACATTAAAAAAAAAAAGAAAATAATAATAAAGAAATAATTAAATAAAAGGATTGTCTGGGAACTGTGCCTCCTTAGTGCCATATGAATACATGGATAGTGTTCCAGAACACAGCGTCAAAAAAAATGACATCTCTAGTGCTGGGCAACAGCACGATACGGATGTCCAGATGACAGTGTGCATGTCAGTGACAGAATCACAAAGCCAATAGCTGATTCAACGGAAAAATGAAATCTCATTAAAAAAAGGCACATATTATTCTTTTGTTGTCAGAATTGAGTACTTTCCACCTACTTTCCTTCTTTTATCCTGCTGAGCAGCAAGTAGCACCACACATAGCACTTCTGCAAAATGATCTTTCTCTGTGGCATTACCGCAGATTTCAGGAGGTGGCCCAATGTCCACCACCCAAAATGCCTTCCCTGATGAGTGTCCACTGTAGGTTGTGTGTGACTTCTTGGCCTTGAAGCACGCCAGGTGTCTCGTGCAACAGTTGATCTGAAGCATTGTGATGGGGTTTAAAGTATGAAGACAGAAACAGCGAGGAAAAGACAAGCAAGTGGGTGTCAAAGCAGCAAGCACTCTGCTCACTCTTAGGAGAGAAAGAACCGCTTTTGTCATGGTTTTGTAGTGATCACCACAATCAAAATGGTCACTCATATTCTGCATGCTACCCTCGGTCCAAGCCCCAGGCTGGTGTCTGACGTTCATGATGCCAAATCCAAATTTCAGCATTCAGACACAAACAAAATCAGGCAGAAAGGGGAAAAGCCCAGAGGTACCCCATCTAGCTCCGGAAGTCCTATTTCCCATTGTCACAGACTGAGTTTGAAGAAACAAAGCTATGTTTTCCTTAAGCTGTTTACTCTTCTGCTAATGTATGACAACGGACATTTCCGAATTGTGGCCTCAGCATCTTAGCCTCACTGTATTTTCTGAACTGCAGTCACATATATTCCTGTGACTGAAATACCAGGAGACCTGCAATGGATTTCGAATTTCTCCTCCGCTTCCAAACATGAACACTGTCAGCTGCTTTTCACAAGGGCTGATGAGACAACCAGCAATCAGGCTTGCTATTTTCATCTCCTCAGGACTTAACTCTTAAACTATGCAGCAGCAGCAATGCTTCTTCCCCACACGGCACTCAGAGCATTACTATTACAGATGCTTTTCCCAAATAGGCCAACAAACGCACAAAAAGAAAACATGCTGTTGCTTAGGAAGACCACTTGCCATGTTATTATTGCAGGAGGTAGCATCATTTCACAGGTAAAAAAAAAAAAAAAAACCCCAAAAAAAACACCAACCACATTTGTCAGTCCTGGACACTGACTGTTAGTTTCATCCCTGCACCCTTATAAGGCTTGATCTGATGGACCAAGTCTGCAGAGGGCAACTTATTCAGACTCCTGTGTCTGGAGGGCTGCATCATCGGCAGTTTTGTCAACTCCCTTTGCATTAGCTAACGTAATGTTTTCTTGAGGAGACTGCATTCATGGTAAGATCTTTTATTCTGCTGTCTTGGCCAAGTCATAAAATATCTAAAGGAAATTAAGAGCAAAAAGCCCTTTATAAATGCTAAATGAATTATTTTTGCAATGATCCTTCTGGCTACAGCAGACATTCTTGTCATTGTACAACCAAATAAATCAATCATGTTAAAATAATTTCCAATTTTTTTTTTTTTGACAGGTTCTGTTCCTGTGCAAGTGGATATTTTTATACACTTTGAAAACAATGTTACATGTAGATATACCTATGTAAATTGGAAACGTTAGTTTCAAACTTTCAACTCTCACAGAACTTCCCTGCAGATATGTCACTCAGGTAGGGTAGCAGGGCACCAGGTGATCATAACCATCACACAAAGGATCACAGCCCATATTCTTGCCTTTCCTTTCCACAGAACTACAGCCCATGTCAATATACTTTCCTTGTCACATCGATACACATCCCTGCAGAGCACATTTCTAAATGCCTTCATATTGTTACTCTCAAGGCTG